GGGCAGGAGGGTGGAGGGCAGGAGGGGGGCAGGGCAGGAGGGAGACAGGGCAGGAGGGAGCAGGGCAGGAGGGGGCTGGGCAGGAGGGGGCTGGGCAGGATGCAGGGCTGTACCAGAGGCTGTGGACATTCACTGGACGTGTTCCCAGGGCACATGGGTGCCAGTCTCTAGGCACAGTCCCAAACTCCTGGCCTGCAGCCCCTGCTGGCCGTGGCCTCTTGTACTCTGATGCCCAGCAGCCTCCAGCTGCATGCAGGGACCGGGCGGTCCTGGGAGCACAGGACACCTGGACCTCAGGTGCAGAGTGGGCTGAGGAGGGTAGTCTGCATGGCCCACAGAGCCCTGGGGCAGGTGTGTGCTTGTGCCCAGGAACAACTGCAAGAAGGACGCTGTGACCATCGCCCTGGTCAACAGCCTGACCTCCTTGTACGCGTCCATCACCATCTTCTCGGTCATGGGCTTCAAGGCCACCAATGACTACCGGCAGTGCCTGGACAGGTGAGCACAGGTGCCCTCTGACTTTGTGGAGAAAGAGCGGGTGGGTGCGTTCTCCCTGTGGGTGGGGAGTTCATGCCCACCCACGACTTCAGAACGTGACCTGCTTGGGAAAAGAGTCTTTGCAGATGAAACTCAGGCTTGAATTGAGGTGAGGTCATCCTGGAGTAGGGTAGGCCCCGATGACAGGTCCTTAAACACACAGAGGAAATGGCACAGAAGAGGGCAGACACTGAGGGGCCACCAGAGGCTGGGAGAAGCGGGCAGCCTTGTCCACCAGAGCCCTGGGAGGGCAGCCCTGCTGACCGTCTCGGGCACCACGCTGTCGAGACTGAGGGTGGGTCCTGCTGTGGTCACTCAGGCAGGACACTGGATGCCTGGGACCTGGGGCACCAGGCTGGGATGCCTGTGTGGCCAGGATGGCATGGCTTTGGCAGGACTGTGTCACAGGGGTGGCCTGCTGTGGTTCCAGCTGCAGCTACTCCACAGGCTTCCAGCGCGTCACCCCTGGAGTCTGGGCAGGTGGACCAGCTCCCCTTCCATAGGGGCCACTCTGCCCACATGGGGACAACACCGCAGGGTCTGGAGACATCCTTGGTCACCATACTCTCTGGGTCAAGGAGGGGAGTCCTGGTATGTGCAGGCCAGGGACCCTGCCAGGATGCCCCAGAGAAGGGACCACAGGGACATCCTTGGTGCCACAGGGGGAGGCCTGGCTCTAACCGCCAGCGTAGGCACAGAGGGGTGCATGCACCATGTGCAGCCTGCGCCCCCAGCTCCCGGGGCGGCTGAGCAGCGGGTGCAGCTCACAGAAAGAACAGCGGGAGCCCCACGAGGACCGAGCCATGGCGTTTCCGGCTTCTTTGCGTGAAAAGTCAAGACGGCATCCAGAGACCAGCACCCGCGGCTGGGGTTGGGCCGAGCCTCTGTAGGCACCTGCTGTGTCTGCAGTCTCACAACACCAGGTCGCGGAAGGCAGGGCCATGTCCTTGGGAAAGCGGGTGACCTGCAGTCACACTTCCTTCCTCAGCCACCACCTGCCCACCGTGCCTCCATTCAGATACCTGTCTACGCCCAGCAGTGGCAACAGGTGCGGAGCCCCAGCCGGCAGCGTGGGCCCAGAGCCTTCTCAGCAAGGCAGGCTGCGCTGTGCTGCATACGGCAAAAGAGCCCTCAGCTCTGTCCTGGGCCACTTCGTGCAGCGAGACTGCCAACCAAAGCAAGTGACATGCTGCTCAGCAGACGCCAGAGGAGCCCTGTGTGCACAGAAGCCCAGACTCACCCCCTCGACAGGAGCCTGCAGGTGCACGGTGTCACTCCCCGAAGATCTGCAGACAGCCACCACAAAGCGCGACCAGGAGGACCCACCACGCACAGCTGCCTCTCCCTGGAGCCGAGGAGCTGCCCTGCAGGCCCAAGAGCTGGGGGCGGGCAGACTTGGTTGGCCCTTGAGTGCTGCTCCCCCGGGGAACTGTGCTGGAGAGGGGCTAGCCGGGCCAGGGTCCCCCCAGAACACAAGAGGCTGCGCCCTCCCAGAAGGCTGCCCTCGGTGCCACCTCACCTCCTCGGGAACCCCACCTCACCTGCACCCACAGAGGAGGGCCCCTCCAGGCCCAGAGGCTGGGAGCAGCCTCCCCTATGTCTGCTGAGTGACCACCCAGTGCTGGCCCTGACGCAGCCTCCATGAGATCCCACAGGCAGCCAGGAGGGACAGAGCCCTTGCTGGGAAGCTGCCAGGGGCTCTGTTCCCCTGGATGTCCGCTGGCCAGGACTGATGGCCCAGCCCCACTGACCACCCCCTTCCGTCCTGTAGCAACATCCTCAGCCTCATCAACGAGTTCGACTTCCCAGAGCAGAGCATCCCCAGGGACGACTACCCGGCTGTCCTCATGCGCCTGAACACCACACAGCCAGACAGGGTGGCCCAGCTCCCCCTGAAGGCCTGCTGCCTGAAGGACTTCCTGGACAAGGTACCAGGGGCAGGCCCTCCACAGAGGACAGGGGGCCTTGCCGCAGACGGCTGTGAACATCCCCACAGGCCCAGAGGGAAGGACCCGTCCATGCCTGCCTGGGAACCTGCCCAGCAGGTCAGGGGACCAGGCTCCACTGAGGAAGCAGGCATGGCGGGGCCCAGGCCCTCCAGGGGAGGCCAGAGCGTGGTCACAGAGGCCAGTGGATGCCTGGGACCTGGGGCACCAGGCTGGGATGAGCAGTCAGGAGGCAGGGCCTCGGCAGCGCCTCATGGCGCCCAACCCCAAAGCCCGGTGTGCTCACCTGCTGGCTTCCTGAAGGAGAGGTCCCTCCTCCCCTCGGAGCTCACCGAGTTGGTCTCCACCTGACTCCGAGAGGGACGTGTGGTGCGTGGGGACCGTGCACGGTGTCCACGGGGTGCCCTGTGTTGCAGAGTGCCTCGGGCCCGGGCCTGGCCTTCATCGTCTTCACGGAGGCCATCCTGCACATGCCGGGGGCCCCGGGCTGGGCCGTGCTCTTCTTTGGCATGCTCTTCACCCTGGGCCTGTCCTCCATGTTCGGGAACATGGAGGGGATCATCACGCCACTGCTGGACGTGGGGGTCTTGCCCAAAGGGGTCCCCAAGGAGGCCCTGACTGGTGAGTCGGTGGCTCAGCCACCTGGAGGGCCTGTCCCCACATCCAGCCTCCAATCCCCTGTCTGCTCCACCTGATGTCCATTTGCCCCTGTCGCATGCAGAGCTCGGGGGGCGATAGCCAGGCTGCTCCATGCAAGGTGGGGCCTCAGTGGAGGAGGGTGGGCTTCCTCCTGCACTGGCCCTGAGGTCCTGGCAGCACAGGGAGAGACAGGGCAAGGCACTGGAGGACCTGGAGTCTCCTGTCAGATGCTGGAGTGGCCTGCACCATGTCTGTCCCCAGGATTGGCCTGCTTGGCCAGCTTCCTGTTGGCTACCTGCTTCACGCTGCAGTCTGGCAGCTACTGGCTGGAGATCTTCGACAACTTCGCGGCCTCCCTGAACCTGATCATCTTTGCCTTTCTTGAGGTCGTTGGGGTCATCTATGTTTATGGAATGAGGCGGTGAGCTGACCCCCAGGGAATGCCCTGGCAGCCCCCCGGTGAGATGGCGGGGCTGGCAGCACAGGCCCACTCTACGTCTTGCCGGATCCCAGCGGGCTTGGCTCTGGGCAGCCTGTGGAAATGCTGGGTGGGGTTCCCAAGCTCCTGCCTCTGAGGGTGGCCTGCCCACGGGGCCTCCCAGGAGCCTGAGTGTCCCACGCAGGTTCTGTGATGACATTGAGTGGATGACTGGGCGGCGACCCAGCCTCTACTGGAGGCTGTCGTGGTGGGCAGTGAGCCCCATGCTGCTGCTGGGCATCCTACTGGCCTACATCGTCCTCCTGGCCCAGAGACCACCCAGCTACAAGGCGTGGAGCCCCCAACATGTAGGTCCTTTGCCTGGACCCAGACGACCCACATGGTGACACTCCTGTCCTGGCAGCCTGGCCACTGCTGGCATCCAGGAGGCTGGAGATGTGAGCAAGTGGCCTTGCTGTGAGCCTGTGGCCACTGGGGCACAGGGTCCCGGGTAGAGCAAAGCCAACTCCAGGGGGCAGCCTGGGGCAAAGGCTGTGGTCAGTAGAGTGTGGACCCCAGCCACAACCCAGGCCATCACAGGTGCCCCCTTAGGACACCGACTCATGCCATACTTCCCGTGGGTGGGGGGACAAGAAGAGGAAACTGCCCACTGGTGGTCTGCAATAAAGGAAGTGGTGCCAAGGGCGTCCTGAGCTGGCCTCGTGCCGTCCACACAGCCCCAGGCTTTCCGCAGCCTCGGGGACCAGTGCCTCTGGGGCAGGTCCTGCTCTCCTGAGAAGGGTGCCCAGCAGGCTGAGCTGCACACCTACCAGGCCTCTCCCCAGTCTCAGAACGGGGCCCCAGGATGGCAAGGGCCAGCAGAGTGGCCTTTGCTGAGGAACCGGTGTGCGTGGCCCCTCTGGACACACCCTGCCCCTCCAAGCCCCAAAGCTGGTGGCTAGTGCTGCCATCCCACACAGGAGGCGACTGGGTGCACGGGCCCAGCCACTCCATGGTCCCACTGCAGGAGGGGCTCTCCTGGGCAGCAGGGCCTGGCCGTGGCTCTTGCACTTTCGCTCAACCTGCTCCTTTGTCTCGGGAAGGGACCAGGTGAAGCAGCCACCATAGTTCCAGGGGCTGACGGCTGGCTCAGTCCCAGGTGCCTGTGGCCGGGGGACGCAGCCTCTGCCCCGGGCGCCCTGCTGAGCATGCTCTCCTCCTGACAGGAGCAGTTCCCCTCTCGGGAGGAGAAGCTCTACCCAGGCTGGGTGCGCGTCATCTGCATGCTCCTGTCTTTCCTGCCCCTGCTGTGGGTCCCAGCTGTCGCGCTGGCCCAGCTGCTGGCCCAGCACAGGCGGAGGCTGAAGGACACACAACCAGACACCAGCATGAAGCCAGAGGAGGGCAGGGGCTGCTGAGGGATGGGCCAGGGCGGATGGGAGCAGGGACTGCCGGCCTGTAGCCTCAGACCCAGCCTCATTACACGCCTGCTGCCACAAGACCACGCGATCGTTGCTTCCTAGCTTCTACCGTGTCCACGCTGCCTGCAAAGGGATTCAGACGTCCCGGAACACGTGGGTCCAGGCAGCCACGGCGTCTGATCCCTGGGTCCTGGCCATCCACGTGAGGCTGCTCCTCCAACCCAGGTCCCGCAGGGTTGCAGTCTCTGTGGCCATTCGCTGTCCCCAGGGGCCAGCCGTGCCCTCTCCTCACCCAGAGCAGCATCGCTCAAGGGACCTGAGGGGCAGACACGGCTGCTGGCACGGGCAGCGCAGGAGCCCCGGGGCCTCTGCTGAGGGAGCCTGCACGTTGCCGTGGCCGTTGCCCCAAGTGCCTGCTTTTAAGAAGGTACTAGAAGGGAGAGGGACAGTCAACTGTCCCATCTTGGGACCCGACCCAGCCACCTGCCTGGCACGGCCCCTGCGGAGCCTCTGAATGGCCTTGGCCACAGCTGGCTTCACACTGAGCCCCAGCAGGGTGCGTCTCACCCAACTCCTCCCCCTCTTGCTGCCCTTTCCCTTCGGGCACAGCCTGGGTCGTCTGAAGCCTGGACAGGGGCCATGTGCACCTGTGGCTTCTCACCTCCGCAGTGGACCCCGGTACAGACAGCAGCACCTCTCTCCTTGGTGCCTGGCCAGGCAGCGCTGTCCATGGTCCTGAAACTCTGGCCAACACAGATTCAGGGTGGTCTGTGCATTCCTTGCCCATGGCCAGTTTGGACCCCAGAGCAAAGGCACACTCAGTGCTGCCTCCTGCTGGGCAGCTGTGTGTCCAACAGGGCATTGGCTACAGGGAGCCCAAAGTGCTCTGTGCGCAGACCGGGTAGGTCCTGCTCTGGCCCTCCATCCCCGATCACACCTCCATGAGGTGGAGGGTGTGAAGATCAATGTGCTACAAAGACAGTCCACCACACGGTGAGGCCTGACCTCCCTGGGCTCAGCCGCACAACCCTGCCCCCCCACGAGCTCCACTGAAACTCGCACATTGTCCTCTCCCCGTCGCACCCGGCAGAAGATGAACTCACACTAAATGTCCTCAGCAGTAGCTAAGCCCCAAGGTGGGCTTCGGGCTCCACTGGGCCCTCCCCGTTGAGTTCTGCTCTTGGGCGTCTAACCTAGGTAGGGCCTCTCCAGGGCTATGCAAATGTTTGGGGTCCATGTTCTGGGTGAGACGGCCCTTCCCTGGGGTCTAGACTGCAGGGCAGGCTGGTTGAGCTTGGAGGGTGGCAGCAGCAGACCACAGGAGGGTGAGGAGGGGCCGTGTGCTCTCCCCACCCACACGGGGCCACCCCACCTAGACAACACAGATGGTGGCTGTCGGCAAGCCACCTCCAGGGATGTGTTCTATGTTCATGCCACGCTTCGGAACACTGGGTGCCGAGCGGGACCTGCTCCCCAGCCCAAGTGACTCTGGGTGTAGAACTTCACAGGAACAGCAGGAGTGCCACCCAGTGAGGGGACACTTCACAGTGGTGCTGGAAATGGCAGGACTCGTGCCCCTGTCCAGCCACTGAGAGGAAGGGGTGGGGCTGGGACAGCACACCTAGAAAGTTCCATCCTATTCACATGCTCAAAGCAGCTGTGGATACTACTGGGTAGTAAGAAAGATGGACAGGAGGGGATCCAACTGGTGGATCACTGTTGGACAGAAAGGTGGTTTAAAACAAGGCAGAGGCATGTCCACCCCACCAAACACACCACTTGTTCAAGGTCACTGCTGATGCCCTGAGAGCAGGAGGAGGCTGAGCAGCATCCATGGAGGGGTGGACAGGCTCAGACCCTAGGGAGCAGGGCCGAATGATCTGACCCTGCATGGACGCACCCCTGTGCAAGGTCCTGTCTATTGCAAGCACCCAGGCTGGCTCCTGGAGACAGGCCAGGTGGCGACCAATGGGGTCCACCCAGCAGAGGGTCCAGAATGAGGACCTGTCCTCCCAGAGGACTTTCTCCTTTGGAGCAGCAGTGATGACTTGGAGCTTAAGTGGCTACACACTGGCTGGTCAGTTCAGAGATGGACATGTCCCCTCAACTGCTGGTCCATCAGCTCAGAAGGACATGGCCCAGGACCCTGGCTAGCCACAGGTACCCTCCCCATACTCCCCTTTGGCCCAGCCCCACCGTGGACTCCAGCTAGAATTACATGTGGAGAGGTGATTCCCCAGTCTTTGGGGTCAAGTGGTTCTGCCAGATGCACTCCCCAGATGAAGGGAAACAGTCCCGTCCCACAAAGGACGGGCCTGGGACAGCAGATCCACCGTCCAGGGCAGGAAGGGGCCTGGTGCCTGATCTGAGCAGAAGTGGGCCCCATGAGCCCCTGTTCCTGCTCTCCCACCACACCCTGGCTGAGGCCACCACTCGGGGGCAGACCCGGTTCCACACACCTGGGTGTAGCTGAGGGGCCCAGCTGCTCCACCACCCCAGCCCCAGGTCAGCACCCGCATCCCTCGGTGACTCTCAGCCAACTGGCACACAGAAAGGGCAGGGTGCCCTGCCCAGAGCTGCAGGTGTGGGACCTGCCACAAAGCCACCAGGTGGGGTCAGACACCTTCAGGAACAGGCCCGTGTGGCTTCTGTTTGCCGGCTTGACCAGTCCCTGAGGCATAGCAACTGACCACACAGGTACTGTCACAGCTCTGGGCCAGAAGCCTAAGGGGTCTCCTCCGCCCAAACCAGGGCACTGGCCAGGCCATGCCAACACACTGGGTCAGCCTCCTTTTCCCCTCCCAGGAACCCTTGTGATGACAGGGCCACCAGCTCAGGACAACCTCCTTGGTTAAGGTCAGCTGCTGAGACCCTTTATCCCACACTCCGCTCTGGAGAATGGACACTGAGGTTCTTTATTCTGCCCACCACAAGCTCTGGGGGGATCTGAAGCCCACCAAGCTTTGCAATCCCCACCCACCCCAGTTCTAGTGTCCCTCATAGGGGAGCACCCAGAGCCCTGCAGGGAGCCAGCACCTAGGGTGACAGCAGGCGAGGCAGGGCAGCAAGCCCTGGCCTGGCAGTCCCCTGGTTGGCTGCCTGGTCGGTCCTCCAGCTCCTCTTATTCCTTCTCCATTCTGAACCTTGCTGGCTCCACAAACAGGTCTATAGGATGCATGAGAGACAGCTTCCACCAAGGCTGGACCTGAGGAGGCCGAATGGTACCTCTCCCCTTAGAGCTGTTAGCCTCACTTGGCCCTGCGATTGGCGCTTTGTGCTTGTGGTGCTGGGATGCAGCCCAGGGCCCTGGCACGTGAAGCACAGCTCAGCCACTGCGCTGCAGCCCCACCCCCACCCATGGTCCTAAGGAGCTCAGCCACTGACCTGCACCCCCACCCCCACCCATGGTCCTAAGGAGCTCACCACTGAGCTGCAGCCCCACCCCCACTCCCACCTATGGTCCTAAGGAGCTCAGCCACTGACCTGCTCCCCCACCCATGGTCCTAAGGAGCTCACCACTGAGCTGCAGCCCCACTCCCACTCCCACCCAAGCTCCTAAGGAGCTCAGCCACTGCTGAGGGCCATTACCAAGTAGGAATGACGCATCGAAATTTCCTTGCCAAGCGTACCCCATGCTGCTTA